TGTATCTCTTTCGGCAATTGGCCTTTAAGAGACTAGTCATTTTGAGTCTTATCACGTAAACCAATCTTAGCGTTTTAAGAGGTTCAAATTTGTGTTATCTTCCTTACACGGATAAGATCACTTATCAACTCAACTAACAGCTTATTGGTTATACATGTTTTCACTATATTATTCATTCAACAGCAAATATTTATATATATTAAAACTTTGTGATTTACGAATGAATCTTTCATTAGCTTGATGACTAATATACCTTATTTTCAATTTAAATTCAAATATTAATATTTTTATGGTTATGTATGAGTAATTTTATATACTTAAATTGGATAATCTTATTTTAATTATTATTGATTTGACCTAATTGAATTATTATCGCTTCAACTGATTCAATGACGGGATTAATACCTTGGGCAAAACATGTTCTCGTCTGAATATATTTTTAAGGCCCAGCTCATCCATTTTTCCCCTTGAAAAAAGTTCGTGATTATATTTATGAGATTATTAATAATAAATCGAATCAAATAGATTTAATCATATTTAATTTGTTTATCTGAGACCCATATATATATATATACACACACATATTATGTTTGTAAATTTCCTTAGAGAGAGAATGAGATGATTGGTGATGGCAGAATGGGAGTTGTACGTAATATCCGCAAGTGAAAGAGGTACAAGGAAGGGTTCTACATGTTTCACATTGATAGGTCTGTGTTAATGTGATTGTACGCTCAAGTCCCACTTTGTACTGCACCATGTCCTTTAAATACCTCAATTATTTGCTTTCCTGTTGATAATTAATGAAAAAATTACTATGAAATCTAAATATGTGTGTGTGTATATAATTACTAATAAGTTTCATAAGAAGTGAATGATGAGTCCATTTCGAGACAAGAAATGATAATAAGTCTATAATACTCGTTTAGAGTCAAGGTTTTTTTTTTTTGTTTAATCAATTATACTCTTTCCTTGAAATTTCAAAGTGGTTTTCCCTAATTTAATTTTTAAGTAATAAAGAAGTAATTTTTAAAATATTGTGATATTCTAGTCTTTTACAAGGCTAAGAAATAACATTAGCCTATTGACATTTATTTGCAATTTTTGGAAGTTAATGGTATTAATTATTTTATAGGGTTTTATTTGTAATTTTTTTAACTCGCATTTATCTAAAGTCTAACCTAGCTTGACTTATTTACATTTTGTACAAAAATATTTGTATTCTTGTTACTTTCTCCGGTCTTTATTATAAAACATTAACTAACAAGTATTCTATATTCTTTTTATATGGCATTTACTTAGTTTCAAGGAGCATCAAGTATTTTTTTTTTTTTTGGGGTCATATATACCCATATTTAACAAGGCTAGTGAGAGAATGATAATTAATATAATGTTGGAGTTTAGTATAATTAATAAGGATAATATTAAAAATCACTTAAATTTTATGATAAATTTAATGCTTTTATATCCAATCCACTAAAGGGGGAAAAAGTGATTGGATTGTGTCAAAATTAGCTAAGAAGGGTGAGGTTGTACAATGGGATAAGATGATTAGCAAAAATGGTGAAAGAAACAATAATTAAAGCCAATGTTAAATCTAATAATGGAAGTTGCATGAATCACATGGCTCAATTTTGAGCCATTGGATTTGGGCTAAACTACCATGTTGTCGGAAGATGCCTTTGCTTTGTTTGCTCTTAAATCATTGTTAATTGCTTTAAGGACGAAAGTAAATTAGATTGTGCCCTTCAATTATTGGAACAATTAAGATATGACTGTACCTTTTTTGTGGTTGGTTCGAAGGAATTATGACTCAAATATACAAAATTTCCCTAGATGTTGGGTAAGTTGCACATAATATCTAAAATGTAACATTAACTACGAATATTTTTAACAGCAGAAGAAAATTTTGATATAATTTTAAATTTTTGAGATAAATTTACACCCAAAAAAAAAATTTCAAGTACTTGGTGATGAAAATTTTTAAAACAAATTTCTACCTTAATCCTATTTTAAAATGTAAAGTTAACAGCCTAACTGTTAGTTTTGTTGTTAACATTAAACCCCTGCCATTATTTTTGCTGTCAAGTTATTAAAAAAAATTGTTATGTTAGACTAAAATGGGTGAGGTAGCATTTGACATGGATTATAAAAATTTAGGCCATTAAAACACTTATATCTATATTGAATTGCAAGTTATAAGCATGCATATTTTAATAAAAATATCCATATACTACCTCCGGTTCTTAATATAAGAGTTAGTTAACTAATTTGAATGAATTAAAAAAAATTAGTTAAGTTAGTGTTTTGTAATAGTTGTTATTTTTCTTAATTATTAATCAAGTGTATTAATTAGAACTATCATTATTACAAAGACTATCTTGAAAAAAATAGATAAATATGAGAGAAAAAATGAATTAGAGTCTTATATTTAGAACTAAAATAAAAATTAAATAAGATAACTAATTTGGTGATGTGATAATTTCTTTTCTAACTTTAAACTGGCCTTTAGCTGAAAAGAAAAATTGAACTTAGGGTTTTAAATTTTTAATAACCTATATTCGTTAAAAAAAAAGGTCGTTTTCATGTAATATACTTCAAATTATTTTGAACTTGTTTAATTTAACAATTGTTTTTAAGAAACTAGTGGATTTTTTTTTTTTAATAATTAAGCTGAAAACAGTATCCCTTAAACAATCATAGTAATTCTGGTAAAAAAAAATCAATATAGTAATAAAAGGCATCGACCGCTGAGGAGGACCCCAAAACTTTGGATCAATTAAATAAGTGGAGCCATGAGCCACCTGTTCATATTAACTATTATTAATATACTAATTTATTAAAATGAAAAAATATACAAATTTATTGATCATCATTATTATTAATTTTGAATGAATAAATGGATGTAATAAAATTGCATTGGATGCATAGTATCTCATCTCATTCACATGCAATTCATGTGGCACCCATACTCCACAGTTTTGGGTTCCTCATTCAGTAACTCTGCTCAAAATGCTAATGCCAACCTCCTCATATCCTTCATTTCCAGATTCCTTCCATCAATCTTAATGAATCACAAAAGTTTCTATACGTATACATACTAGACTCAGGTTAAGTTCTTTGTAATCATTATGTCAAATTATCCAAATTATTTGTCTTTTTTTCTCATGTCATCTTGTAATCTAAAATTCACGGAAATATGACAAAGTATGATTGGAGAAGTTAACATAGTAATTGTAAGAAACTTGACCAAGTGATTGAGTCCATATTATATATATTATATATATACAAATATATATAATATGTTGTTGTTTATGCTCCATTGATTCCGGGACCATGAACTGGCCGGAACTTATGGGACTCACGTCTGAACTAGAAGCTCTTCTCTTGAAAGAAAAAATATTTTGCACTTAATAAATGCTAACAGAGCCGTGATTTTCTCTTCCATTTAATGGCTTCATGTTGTGAGAGAAATTGGTCAACTCGTTTCATGGCCGTTTTTCTATGTCTGTCAAAGGTATTTCTCACTGGTTTGGCAGCACAATCCAAGGATTGATTAAAATAATTGTATAGCAATGAAGACCCATCATCTTCCAACTAATGAAAATGTGCTCGTTCTTTTCCTCTGTTTCTGGGAAACCTCCTCTGGCTCCCAGATTATCAGCATGGTGCTACAGAAACGGAAGTGAAGAAGAGGGCACTTGAAGATGGGTTTTAATTTAATATCATAATGAGGATGGGTCCAGTTTTCCAATATAATCATAAATAATGATAATACCTGGAAACAAGTGTAGGACCCCACGTGGGTTCATCTCTCCTGAAAATATGTTTGATGATTTATTATTAAATATCCATCATCATCTCCCTCAATGACAGTGACTGTCGGCATATGCAGTAAGGCAGTGAACCTTTACCATCAAGGACATGATAACCTCTCAGGTTTTGGTTTGGACTTCCCCTCACTGATCATGGCCCAATAATGACCGCATCACCTTCAAGGTAGATTTGATTGTTAGCTGCAATGTATGTCCCGTTTGAAATCACTTATAAACATGTTTTACATAAAATGAGATAAAATCCTCTCATATACTTACTCGTATTTCACAAATTACGATTGAAAAACTGCTTGTAAACTAATCCAAATTAGCCTATGGTTAATGGCAGTTAGTTTTGTTTTTTTACTGACATGAATATTTATGTGTACCAACAGCATGACATCACAAAAGTGAGCTTTTCCTATTGGCACATTTTAAAGCTCACTTAAGCATGAGGTTGCATGTTCCATTTCTCTGAGAGCGTGAGTTCGTTTTTACCTGGTGAAAGATGACCAAAAACAAAAAAAAAATCTTTTCCATGCACTGAATATAAGATACAACATTTCTTTGGGCCCAAAAAAATCCAGCTTTAACAATAAGAGATCCAAATAGTTTTATTCATCCCAACCTACATTGCAGTGCAGGCATCAAAATTTGTTATCCGTAACTGTTACAACTTACGCATGAAACCCAGAAAGGCTGCAAGTCTAGCTATCAGATTTCACGCGTCTGAAACTTCCTTTTCTCAACCTTGAGAGGGTTTATGGTACAATTGTTAGAGATATAATGTGGGTGTGTAAAAAAAAAAAAAAAGTCTCACGTTACTCAAGAGTGTAAAACACAAGTCACAAATACTAGTATGTGTTCTGGGCTAATGAATAGACTTAGAAGAAGAGGAGGATCCCACACGCATGACCATGAGCCACCAGAGGCAAATAGTGGAAATCTGACAATTTTCCTCCGTGCGCGAATTAAAGATGGGCAAGGTGCCTTTCTAATTAGAGGTTTTTACAAAATTTTGAAATTAATTTGTAATAAAGAGCTTATCTGAAAACATGGTTTATTACCTTGACTTTTTTAAAATCCTTAAAAATGTAAAAACTTCAATTCTGCCTAAACAGATTATCCTTTCACTGCAGCAACAAATTTTGTTTTAAACTAATATTAGCATGCTTTGATCACCCAAGGTTCAAAAACCATCGCATTAAACACTTTCATTGCTGCAATGTTCAAAACAGTGTATTAATCACATTTAAACATGATTAATTTGTGTTCAACGATGGAGTGGGTTGGAGCCTATATAAGGTGCTTCGAGACAAAGGCTCAAGCATCCCGCACTTGAGCTTGCATGCAATCCTCCTTCCTTCTGAAATTGCTGCTACCTAGTTGGGTTCTATTTGTTACCTTCTGTTGTTCTGTTCACCCTATCCTTGCAGGAAGAGTCTGTTTAATCCTGGAAAGTGCCGCTTCCCGTCTGTCGATGGTCACAGAATAGCTCTTAAGAGAGTGTCCATAAGACGTGACTTGAATTAATCGTTTTTCTACAGGTGTTATGCCAACAACAGCATCACATGATTTAAAAAAAAAAAAATTTTGAATACATAATCATCCTCTATTCAGAATATGGTATTTCAAGCTACGGAGTCTCATGTCACAGCCAGTTTCCCTTTTGTACAGCTCTTAGACTTCAGGTGTGCATCATGACCTCAAGTTTATTTGAAACACTCTATTATACCAAATAGAGTGAAGGGTCATGTGAAAGAGGTCATATTTAAGGGGCCTAGTGTGCCACAGAAAATGTTTCTGAACCCTCCTGACCCCAAGTTGCAAGCTCAGATACTTCTCTTCTGGTATAGAAATAAGTATGTCTTTCAATCTCGGAATATCCTTCTCTGCAAGGATTACTGAGAATGCATCCCAATTCAAAACCTCAAAAAATGGTGGCACAAAGTTGTCAGATATAATCACAGGGACACACTCATAGAATATAGCTTCAACCACCCTTGGGCTGTTCACCTCGTACCCTTTAGGGCAAATGCAGTACTTGCTGTTCTTCATGTGCTGAATGTAACTCATTTTGCTGGCAACACCGGGAGGCATTCGACCAAATATTTTCATACTGGGGTCTTTGTCCTTCCAGTGCTTTAGCAATATCGGACGCAAATAGCCATGCAAACTCCCAGCATAGAAAGCAAGAACAGGCCTTTGATCAGGTGGCCTTCCGCCCAGATCTCTAAGAGGGTTTTTCGTTGACCGGACATAAGTTTCTGGAAGAGAAACATCCCTTCCAATTTTGAAGCCTTGTGTTACATCAGCAATACAGAGAGCTTTTATGCAGTATTCCATATGGTGCCTCGTTTCATATGGAGCCTGTAAGAAAAGAGTAGTGCAAATTTATTCATGACATTTTCATATGGAGTCTGTAAGAGGTGTGCATATTTAATTCAAGAATGTGTGCTTCCATGCATAGTCTCATTCTCCATAGAATAAGCTGTCAGGTAGCTGTTATTTCATGTTTCCTGATATCTTAGATTTGGATACCAACGTATAAGATATTGCAGTTAAGGTTTTCATGATTTGCATAACAAAAAGTTGTCGTTAAAAGAATACTTTTCAGTGTTCAATAGAATTAACAAACGGGATGTGAAATCCCCATGATTTTTTGTCATCTAATGCCTCCTGGCATGTCTACTATAAATATGCATCTGTAACAATACCTAATAATGCATATATCAAGGTCAAGATGATGATATACCAAATGCTTCTAAACTGATTTTTTTCCCCCTCACTGATATGCAACCTACAGTAGACAACTAGAGATGATGCAACTCAGTAGACCATTATTTGGAACATATAAAGAAGAATGGTTGCTAAATCTTTCTCTAATTATCTCATCCATATTCTACATATAATATAATCTTTATACGAAGCTGCACTATCCATAAGCCATCAATAAAGTAGCTTGTAAAACATTGGCACACAGTTCAATTTTCATAAAACAGACTACAATGTAGTTAGATAAATAGGACTTCTTGAAGTGAGAATATCAATTTGACACATTAAAGAAAGAAATTTCTGTGATCATGCAAGAAAGAAAACCGAGAAGGACACAACATACCCAATCATGGCATGCAACAAGAAAATGGTCAGCTCCACCAGTTCTGTTAAAGTAAGGATATTTTGCTGCAATTTTCTCTGTATAGTCCTTCAAATACTGGCGGAGATTTGTCCGATTATGAGAGTTACGTACATAGAGTGAGTGCTCCAACATTCGTGAACTAAATGGCATATAAAAGAGGTGAGCCTTTGCAGGATCCTTCACAACAAAATACTTGTTTTCCTCCATCAGTTTCATAAACCATCCCTCTGCTGCATAAAGTCCCTTGAGTATAGGCTGATGGAAGATGGGTTTGGCTCCATCCTTGTATATATAAACTTTGAGTGTGCGTTCCATCAGTTCATAGCTCCTGAAAATGCAACCAGAGAAAAGTTACTTTCTCGAACATTGGACATGGTAGGTCAGACATAGATCACACGAAGAAAAATAGAAAGAAGAGGAATTTAAGTGAATACAAGGCAAAATCCAATATCATATTTAAAAAAAAATATTTAGAAGAGAACATTTAATGTTGCAAATTGAGTTTCACTATTTGGTTCTGATAAAACATGCCTCAGCATGATTGTAAGGAGTTAAGTAGTGATTGATACTTCAGAAAGTCAACATCCTTCCATTTTCCTTTAGAGGTCAAACCTTCTAATTCTGTGGCTCAAACAGAAATAGGCACGGATAAAGCACTATTAACATAAGTATGACAATGCAGTTGACGCTACCTTAACTCTATCAAACTTACCTTCTGAACATGGAAACATTGCGAAAGAGAGAAGCATAAAGTTCTTTGTCATGTGTCACCATAGGAGCATGCATAATGTCTAGCTTAGCAGCATGAATTTCCCGGTCAAGTCTGGAGGACCATCGTGGTTTCTGCAATCAAAATTGGACTATAGATTACATTAACTCTATATATATATATATATTTATATATTATATATATATATATTTCAAACAAGTATCTCCTAACTGACACAGATATTAATACCATTGCACGAGACTTAGCCCTACGCCTCACTAATATCCGGTTCATCTCTTGTATTAAGGTTCTCGACTTAGGTGGCAGTTCACACCTCATTTTCCTTTTCCCAGGAATACTTGTTGAAACACCATTATCTGAGTCAGCTGAACCATTTTGCTTCAGAGAAGAACGAATTGAAGAGTTGGAACTTTGATGAGTCAGATTAGTAGGCACAGGAGACTGGAAATGAATATAAACTGTCCCAGCTTCACTTAAATCCACATTTTTGTTTTCTACCAACTGATAACTTGTCGAAGTTTCACTTTTCATCTTCAAAATTTCATTTGCTGAAACGGCATTTCCATTTTTCCTGGCTAAAATTGGCACGAGATTATTATTCTTATTGCCATCACCATCAAACTCTGAGCTCACATTTTTATCATCAACTTTCTTCTCAGGAAACCTAAGGATGCCATTTCTATCTCTCCCAACTTCAAAAGCATCAGTAGAACTCTGTGTATGATTTTTCATTCCATTTAACAACTTATGAAGATGGGTTTCGTCACTAACAATGGAAATATGTACATTTTTCACGGTGCCACTGAAACCAGAATAATTAATATAATTTGGACCATTAACTGTTAGAGGATTGTGAATAGAAGACTTTGCAGCTGAATCTAACAATGGGAAGCTTGTAAAATTATCCCTGGGCTTATGATATTCTTGCAATGAAGAAGACCAGGGAGCATTTCCAACTGTAACCAATATTGATTGAAACAGTAAGGAGTTAACAGCCACTATTCCTAAAAGATAAAGCCATCTTCCATTTCCCATATGACGCAATCGGAACATTTAAGAATATTCACTCAGAACAGAGATAACACCATAACTTCTTGATCAAGCTTCTTAAATTAGAATATAACACCCAATCTTCCCCTCATTGTGCTGCAAATTGAAGTTCAGCAGAAACTCAGATTAGTTGAAAACATAAGAGACTTCGTAGATAGATTACAAGATAACAAGAAAGCATGAATATAGACGGAAAAATACGAAAAGAGACCACTGGGGGTATAAAGTTCCATTTGTTCTTATGAGGCACCAGACAAATGAGCTAGGACAACCAACAATTTATGCTTGTGTGCGAGGGAGAGTGAGAAAGAGTGGCTGTTTCATTCCCAAGCATGCATAAGTTAAGAAGAAGAGCAAAACTTGAACTTGTTTGGTTTTTCGCCAAAAGCGACGAAACTACTTAGAACAACACTCACCTAACTAGGGGGGAGAGTGAAACTTGAAGCTCCATTTTCTTTCGAACTTTCCAGTGAAGCAAACAGAGTAACCCTTAAGCAGCACAGATCAAAGAGGCCACCCTAAATCGTCCCGTGGAAGTATTTGCAGACAATTAATTTAAATGCGCGAATTATTGAAGGAAAAAAACTTCCTTTGAAAAAATTCCCATCAAAATAATTGTCACCGATTGTCTCCTGTGAGGAACAGAACCAGAGAAAGACCTCGATACGACGTCGTATTCTCTTGTGACGGTGGTTTCTGGCTTTCTGCCATTGTCACTATCAAGATTATCTTTCTTGGACGTTATGAAGGTACTATCTCCGATTCTTAATATAAGATCCTGTTTGACTTTTTGTTTGGTCTTAATTATAAGACCCCAATATATTTTTTCTCTCATATTTATGTATTTTTTTCCAAGATAATTCTTCTAATAATGATAGTTTTAGCCAATACACTTAATTAGCAAAAATATTTTAGGAATGACAACACTTATTTATTACAAATAACTAACTTAACTTACTTTTTTAATCTCCTCAAATAAATTAACTGGGTCTTATAATTAGGATCGGAGCTAGTATTAAACAGCCCAATGTCCAAATTTCCAGCAAAATGCTTAAGCTGCTGACGTATCTTAAGAATTAAGATTTTTGTTTCCTTTGTCAAATTTGGTCTTAGGGAAAATGGCGTACAAAGACCATGGAAGAAACAAATATATCATCTCATCAAAAGAAGAGAGACTTTCAATTTAATTCTAAATATAGAAATCTAATCTATTTTATTTCTTATATATTTATTTATTTTTAAGGTAATTCTTGTAGTTGTTACATATATTAAATGTATCATCACATAGTAGTTTTAACTAATACACATGATTAACAAGCGCATTTTAGGAAAGACAATATATATTTGTTAAAAATAACTAACTTAACTATTTGCTTAATCTACTCAAATTAATCAACTAGCTCTTATATAAAAACCAGAAGTAGTACTACCTCTTGTCCTTAATATAAGATGTTATTTGACTTTTATTTTGGTCCTAAATATAAGACTTCAATCCACCTTGTCTCTCATATTTATACAATTTTTTCCAATATAATTTTTTTAATAATTATAGTTTAAACCAATACACTTAATTAGTAAGGATATTTTAAGAAAGACAAAATCTATTTATTATAAATAACTAACTTAATTTATTTTTTTAATCTTCTCAAATTAGTCAACTAGCTCTTATAATTAGGACTGGAGGTAGTATATCTTAATTGTAAATCCTGTCATTTTAGTAGTTAATACTAGGAGTTTGATAGTAAATATTGGAGAATTAATTATAAATCATTTGCAAATTATAGAATATTCGTAAATTTTAAAAGCACGGTTATAATTCTCGAAAGTTCATTTTTTAACAAGGCTTTTACAATTTACAATCTTCAATTTTGGTTTCTCTTTTTTACAGTTAAGCTTTCAAATTTACATCTCTTTCAAAAATACCGATTATTCTATAGTTAATCTTTTAATTTTTACAGCTTAAGTTTTAAACTTTCCGAATGTTCAAATCTTTTCCAATTTAGAACTAATTTGTAAATAATTTTTTTTTAATTTTTACAACCATATTTTATAATTTTTTTTTCCTGGCCAAGCGTTCAATTTAGCCCCTTTTAATAATAATAACTCATGCACGCTTAAAATTTTTAGGTCCTATTCTCCCTCTACTTCTACCGGCCATTGGATCCTGCTTGGTTCGATCCATACCTTTTCCTTGTTTTCCATCAATTACCTTTTCATTTCAGAAAGATTCACATTGCTTGACATAATTAAAACAGTTTGACCAAAAAAAGATATAATTAAAACATGATTAAAATCACATTGGGTTTTTGACTCAACACTTTGTCCATTCGTGTTATCCAATAAAATCCATATTATCCAAAAAAAGAAAAATCTCAGTCTATTTTTAAACTAAATATTCTTGTCCTGCACTTTTTTTAAAAAAAAAATTGTACAATTAAACATGCACAAAAACATATTAAGGCAATCTTGCGTTTGAGACCTGATCGTGGCGAGTAGTGCTCTTATTAAGGCAACTTGCCATTCAATTTGTCCTACACTTCTCATTGTATTGCATGCAACAGAGCAATTCAGTAACCCCGCTTATAAGTCCTGTTATATACATGAGATGGGAACAAGATTTGTGTCTTGAACAGGCACTGACCAGATCAATAAAACCACAACCAAACAGATTACGTGCCACGGCCTGAACCCAGATAACTATTTCAGTGAATGTAGTTTCAATGCCAAGCTTCAGAACATCACACTGCTCTTATGTCATATGCTAACTTTCTCCAACAAATCAAGCTTCATTCAATTAATCCAGAGATATTATCACCTGGGTCTGATCTGAGAAACTCTATTGAACCATACTGAGTGAAGAATCATATGAAATAAATCATACTTGGCAGGACTTCTGTGCCACTGAAAATGCCTCTGCACCTTCTTTACTCCTAACTGCAATGCCTGGTACTTCTCTTCTGTTACTGAGAGAAGTATGTTTCTTAGACGAGGGATATCTTTTTCTTGAACAAATAGAGCAAATTCTTCCCAATTCAATACCTCAAAGAAAGGAGGCACATAATTATCTGATATGATAACTGGCACACACTCAAACATAATGGCTTCCACTACTCTTGGGGTGTGAACCTCATAACCTCTAGCACATATGCAATACTTGCTACTCTTCATGTATTCTCTGTAAGTTCTTTTACCTTCCAGGTCCCGTGGCATCGGACCGAAAATTTTCATGTCAGTTACTTTATTCTGCCAGTGTTTTAGTAGAATTTCTCTGAGGTAACCATGCAAGCCTCCTGCAAAAAAGGCAAGAATAGGTCTTTCCAAAGGAGGTTTTTCTCCAATACCTCTTATTGGATCCATCGTAGAATGTATATAAGTAACAGGTAGAGATGTGTCCTTGCCTATCTTGAATCCTTGAACAATATTAGCATTGCAAAGAGACCTGATGCAATTTTGCATTGGCCGCCTTGTGATCCGGGAGGCCTGCATTTTCATACGTCTCATTAAATCAATGCAGAAAAAATCTGCAGTAGACACAGGTTCAAAAACATGAACAACAGAATTCAAGTAATTCACACACGAACAAGAGTACTAGGTCAGGGGCCATCATTTCTTTCGACTAGAGATATGACTGTTAATGCTAAATTTTTCCTGACAAGAATTTACGTACGATTCACATCGAGTTGTCATGGGTAAAACATGTGGATTATTCATGTGAATCGTGCGATGTGCCATAAACAAAGGGTTATACTTAGCCACATGATTCTGGAAGGAGGGTCCTTAAACCAGAAGGATTGTATGCTTATCTACATGTGTCATTAAATTTTCTTAGCCTAACTACTGATACTCCATAGATTAACAGAAACATTCGAATTTCGTAATACACACATATATCTAAGAACAATGAAATCACCATTGTGGGATATATTTTAGATCCATGCTCTAGATTTATGAACAATCTCTGCACAATGGTCAATTTTGGGTTTTCTTAATTAAGATAACAAATAAAACGAACTTTAAACAATATTATCTAGCAGTGAAGTTGTAATATTTATAAGAATAAGAATGACGCTTAGGGATTGGAGAGCAAACCCAATCATGACAAGCAACAAAAAAGTGATCTGCTCCCTCAGTTCTGTTCCAGAAGCGATATTTTTTGGCAATTAATTCCAGATATCTTTCAACATATTGCTCCATCTTCTTAATTTGGAAGTTTTGTCCAGAAAGATTAATCCTTAGCATTTGTGTACTAAATGGTAGGTAAAACAAATGAGCTTTTCGGGGATCCCTGACAATGAAATTTTTATTTGCCTCCATCAATTTCATGAACCATCCTTCTGAAGCATAAAGTCCTCTCATCTTTGGTTGATGAAATATAGGTTTTTCTCCTTCTTTGTATATATAAACTTTAAGCTTGCGCTCCATCAATTCATAACTCCTGAAGGACACATACCAAAAATATAAGAAGGATCAAATCAGTGTAACGTTACAGGCTCCCTATTGAAAAAAGATACAGAATGTTTCCCCTGTTCAATAAATAGACAGACGTGGCAAACTGGTACAGATGTCATGCTGTTGACAATTTGTATATTTAAATTTGTAGGATTGAAGTTACAGTGTTGCTTATATATGTCAGCAATACCAAAGTTTGACCAAAAATAAACATTAGTAACCCAGCACCAAATGAGTAAAGGCTGGCAATACCAAAAGAATAGAGAAAGGAAAGAGAATAATTTACTTTGCACTGCTGTATAGCTTAGATATTGACCAATTTCCAGGCTACCTTATAAACTCGGAAACATTTCGAAATACAGGTGCATAGAGTCCTGAAGGATTTGCTATGACGGGGGCATTTGCAATATCTACTTTTGCAGATAATAGTTCACGGTCACGTTGAGATGACCATCTTGGCCTCTGACAGCAACGACAAGTGAACATCAGGATACTGTGTAGAACAGAAATTGCATAAATTGGAGGAAGTAAAGCTCGAATTCATACCATATATGAAGAAGAATTGTAAGTCTGAAGCAATAAAGAGTTCATCTGTGTTATTGATGCTGGCTGAATCAACTTATTCCTTGTGGATAGGATACCCATCATAGATTTATTTCTCAAGACGGGCAAAGTAGATTCTAATAGCTCAGTCTTTTCATTCTCATGTTCCATTTCCACCACACTTTGCATTCCGCTTCGATTTGAAGATACAGTAAGTAACATATCAGATGAGCTCAAACCTGCTTTCATATATTTGATAACCTCTGAAGGAGTTCCTTTTGATATAACTTGCTTGCTATCCACCTTACCTTGAATATTACCAAATACTATTTTGCTGTGTGCTTCAGGGGCATAGAACACATAACTAATGTTATCATCAACTGGTCCAGTCTGCCCTATGAGACCTTGTGCATGCTTGGGTCCTTTTTGAGTGAAATTGGAATTTACATATTCAACATCTTCCACTTTAAAACTCTTATCAAGCACTTCACGTTTCTCAAAAATGAATCCCTTTCTTGAGTCCCTGTCTCCATCAGATACCAATTCATAGCTTATAGCAGCTTCTTTCCCAAAAGCATTTGAACTAGAGGCATAAATAACTTTAGGCAGGGGACTGATTATGGTTGGTCCAGACATATCCCCCTTTCTGATTGCAGGGAAGGCAAATTCAACAGGCGGTGCCGGTGAAGGTCTATGAGAATGGAATAGAGAAAATGTTGTCCAGAGGGGAAATGCAAGACATTGTGAAACAACTAACACAGCAATTAAAATGAAGAGCAGTCTAATCTTCCCATGAAACCACCTCGGAGGTAGAGCAGAAGTATCCATTTCACGCAAAAATCTACCAGTCACTTCAAGCACACTCGGCTGACTCCAAAGTATAAATCCATCATCATAGTGACTTCAAATTTTTATGTCTAAGTCCTGAAAAGTAAGACACGGACCAAAAAAATAGCTTACCAGATGCAGGATGAATAAATAGAAACCAGTCCATTAATTTAACATCCGAAAGCACCAAACCAAAAATTAAAAATTAAAAAAAAAAAAGACCGAAATGTTAAACCAGCTCTCAGCTGCAATACACGGCATGCTAGTCAGTGATGACAGTAGCATGTGGTAGACCGGAAATGAAAGAATTACTGTATCACTTCAAAACGAAATTAGAAGAAATCTTCGTTACTTGCCGTGGAACACTACTGCTCTCTAAGATCACATCAATGGAGTACAGATTTCAAAAGGAATTACGACGGAATAGAATAATACCCAAAAGGTGCTTCAATGTGCCTCACCAGCGAGCAACGGAGTCTCCAAGCTGCTTCTTTCATCACTTTCTGGGTTACTCAAGCAAGTCGAACCAGGCCGAAGATAAAAATGACCTCAATATTCCAGATAATTTTTTTGGATATCAGTTACCACCCCTCCGGTGCCACATGTAACCGATGTAAGAAAAAGAAAAAATTTCAAGGGATGACGTGTCCCTCATTATAAGAATGGTTAATACAATCTGTGTTCTTTTAAATTTGTCATCATTTTGATCCCACAAATTTTAAATTATACATTTTAGTTTCTTAAATTTTTTTTAATTTAAATTATTAGTCTTTATAATCTAATAAAAATATGAATTATTTTGCTCATTGAGAGACTAAAATCTATTGTTTGAAACTTAAGATACTAAAGATTATATTAATTCTTATAATAAACATTATCTAAAATTTTTATATAATTTTTCACATTTAATTACCTTCACTACGTTACGGTCATGTTTGGCACGGCATTAGAAATCACTTAGGCGTCATAGTGTAAAAAAATCATTGAGGAAGAAACTACCAACACGAGACTTAAGAGACATTTGGATAGAAACCAAATTATGATTTTAAAAATGCTTTTACAATATACAAAATAAATATATAAAAGAATTAGTCTTGTTTTATGAAAAAGTACTTTTGGAAAGTATTTTTATATAATCCCAAACACCCCCTAATGCCAATACCAACTTCTTTAGGGCTTGTCTAGGTCAAGATCTTTCGAAGTATGGAGGCATTCTCAATGTCATTCAACTAGCGGACGCTCACCCACGGCATGATCCTGAAGACCATATCAAAATGGCTGTGGATGGCTCGGTGTTAGATGATGGTAGAAGTGGCTGCGGAGGATTCCTGTGTGACAACAAAGACCAATGGATTTGTGGACTTAGCTGCAAGTTGACAACAGTTCCCCCTGCGATTGCTGGACTATTAGGATTTATCCGTGGTCTCAGTATTTGCTGGACTAAAGGATATAGGAAATTTCTTCTCTTATCTGATTGTATAACTGCTATTAATTTTGCTATTAGAGACCGTGACATCAATCATCCTTTCATGTTTGCAAAGAGAATATGGTCATGGTTGATGGGCTAGCAAAGTTCTCGCATAGGATAGAAGGAAATTTTTAACTCTTTGAGCACTCTCCCCTCCCCCCCATAGTCAGCAGGTGGAGGTTGATAAAGAATAGGATTGTTGGCTGTATTGTGTTTTTTGGTTTTTTTTTTTCCAGTTAGTTATACAGTTTTTATTAATTAAAAAAAAAAGAAATCACTTGTAAGCACGCCGTAAGCCGAGATAAAATTTCTTTCATATATTTACTTCGTATTTCATAAATTACAATTAAAAAGTTACATATAAACTACTCCTTCGGTCCTTAATATGGGTATTAATTATTGAGTTGATTTTGGTCCTAAATATAAGACCTATTTTCATATTTATCCATTTTGTCTAAATTACCCCTATAGATACTCCCTTAATTATAATCAAGTAGAAGAGGGAGAGAAGATATTGAAGAAGATAATTATGATGTTTTAGGAAAAATATGTCATATTTCTTATAATTAACTAATTTACGTAATTTTCTTAATCTAATCAAATTAGTTAAATAAATCTTATATTAAGAATCTAAAGACGTTAATTATAAATACTCGTCTGGATGTGCTTAATAGTAACTTTTGTTGCTCCTCCCAAAACACACGAGTGAAAAATATCTTCATATCAACAAGATATGTAAAGAGAAAAAGTTTTAAAATATTGCTTTATTAAATATAATACTTATTTTATAATATAATTTGTATTATAAAATGAGTTTTATATTTAAAATACGATATAATCACGATTTGAGGGTAACAATGCCACCTGGAAAAGACTATCCGCTCGTAAAGGCATTGACAAAAAACAATAGTCAAGCAACTGAATTACGAGTTTAGGATACAATTTCTTGAGAAGAGCAAGGGGGGTAGTGATGTTGGAGGCAGTAGTTTATGGGGTTTATCTTAAATGTGTTAAGGAAATTTACCTCGAAAGTTTGTAGGGTGAAATTTGCTGTAAAAATTTAAAAATTTAAAGTATATATTTGGTCATTTAACTTTATATAAGGTTTCAATATAATCCTTTGACTTTAAAAAGTATACATTTGGTCTTTTAACCCTAAAATCATTAGGCTTCAATGATGATTTTTTTGTAAAAATCATCGATTTTTTGAAAATTAAATTTAATATGTTAGAATTTGAGAATATTTTATCAATATTTAAGATCTTAATATCATCATTTTTAAAACAAATTTGGACTAAAAGTATACTTTTTAAAATTAAGGGGCCAAATTAAAACCTTATATAAAGTTAAAGGACCAAATGTATACTTTAACTAATTTAAAATTATAGTAATCAAGTTACTTATAATTAAAAACTAACATTGATACTTGATAGTTAAAAAATAATATTAACTATTAATATCTTTAATGTTAAGGGATAAACTTTCTACAATTTTATATTTTTAGGACAAATTTATATCTAAAAACGTTTCAATTCCTAACACCAACAAGTGAAAACTTTCAGTTATATTCGCACATTAGGCTATATTTTTAATTCTTAATTTAATTTGTAATACTCTTCCGATTCTCATATAAGATCTAATTAAGGAGTTGATATTAACTCTATATGTAAGACTCATTTAACAAGTTTATCAATTTTTCTAAATTAACTCTATTAATATTTTCTAATAATAATTAAGTAGGAGAAGGAGGGAAAAAATTAAAAAAGATACTTCAAATATTTTAATATATATATCATATTTATGAATCTATTAATATATAAAAGTAGAATACAAGGCATGAGTATCTGGCAGCGCGACATGTGGCATTACCAAAGATCAAATAAATGTTCTTTTCTTTTTATAAAAAAAAAGGTTTTCACCAACTGTTTATTATTTGAGAGAATTTTCCGATTAACATGTCATGATTTTTTTTATTTTAGATTAAATTGAAATCATGACTTAAAATAGTAATGAAATATTCAACTAATTATTTTGTGGTAATTCAACTTTTTATCTTGTATAAAAGAAACCACCAATTCATACCCGTGCACTATACTAGTTTAACTAATATTCTTAACTTACACAGATCAATTCTGTGCTCAAATCAGTTCTGGGCTGTCCATTTTTTTTCCGCCTCTAAGGCGGTCCTTCAGCCGCATGCTTGTTTGAGATGATAAACTTGTCATGCTGCTGGTTATGAGGAGAAGCTCTGGAGCGAGAGACGTATCAACCCAAGTCCGAATCTCACTGTTTGTGCCGTTCAGACCAACCAACGTACCACAACGCCGTGGACTCGGCAAGCTCCATCGACACAAGGAGATCAGCGACTTGGTTGCAATGATGCATGGAACTCAACTCAAAGGTCTATATACATTCTTTTAACTCGCCTGAAATTATAGCATAGAGATTCTTTCTTGTTGGCGGGAATGGTTCTCTGAAGAGTACAAGAAGAAGATATGAAGAAGAAAGTGGTGCACGATGTCTTCAAGGCGTGGGCAGCGCCTTTAGGCTTAATTTGCCTCCACCTATTCCTATCTTATAGGGTGCAAGTTGGGATGCCTGGCGAATTTCCTTCAGGATACAATGAAGACCCTTAAATATGGATTGCACTTCCAAATTCAAGCAAAGACAACAATGGTTTTCACAAAGTGATAATTTGACTCTATCTTTGCGTGCACTCGAAGACAAAGGCAATGAGTTTGATCTTAGTATTTGTGTTGTATTTTTCCAAATGAAGTGATGATGAAGGGTTTATATAGAGCATGGAATGATGTCTTGAAGAGATACCTTTTAGAATAAAAACTTACTAAATAAAAAGTCACAACCATATGTTGGTTCATGAACCAACATAATTTAAATAAATACAATGAATTTAGTATGTAGGTTCATTTAATGTTTTAACTTCCTACATAACCTTTTGTTAAATACAATGTATTTAGTATGTAGGTTCATTTAATATTTTAACTTCCTACATAACCCTTCATATAAATATATTAATTTATATGAAGACACAACCCTTCAAATAAATTTATTAATTTATATGAAGACATAACCCCTCATATAAATTTATTAATCTAATAAATTTATGTAAGGACATGACTTTTTAAAAAAACACATCTCTTCATTTTAAAAATATTCCAACAATCCCCCACCATTTTTAAAATGAACCCAAATTCTTATCACTTTGGAAATCTCATGTTTTCAGTAAAGGTATCTCAAGGATTTGAACCTTTACCTAAGCAAGACATGGTTTCACCCATCCGAAATAATATGGTAGACTAAGCTTTGAACCAATTATCCCATATGAACAGGTGTGCATGACTCACGCATGGGATCTCGGACCATTGTATGCCACTGAAAATGACACTTTTATGACCTTGTGTCCGTATCCTTTTCATGAAGAGTTTTCAGAGTCAAGCCCTTAGACTCCTAGAAGCGGCCCCACTTCACTCTCATATAGGTAGACTCCATCAAGAGCACCACCATGATTAATGCTCCAACAAAATATATGCTTACAGGTCTATTAAGAGCCAAATTAAAGCTCAACCTTTCCCCCTTTTAAATCTCATGGTTACCAAGTACTTTTCAACCATGGGATGTATAAATATGTCAAGTACTTGCAATCACTCTAATAGTATACTTTCACAATTGAACTCAAGACTTGATATGATGGTCAAGTGTGAGTTGGGTTTCCGCTATCGGTGATCAAGGTTTATAGGGCTTCAATCCCATCCCCTTTGATTTTTTTAACATCATTTCCCTTGCTAAACCTTTCGTCAAAGGATCTGCAAGATTTAATTCAGATCTTATATAACTTATGGAGATTACTCCATTCATAATGAGATCCTTCACAAAACTATGTCTCAATCCAATATGTCATGATTTCCCATTATAGACTTGGCTATAAGCCCTTGAAAGAGTAGACTGACTATCACAATGGATAGATATTGGTGCCATTAGCTTAGGCCATATAGGAATTCCAAGTAACAAGTTTCTAAGCCATTCCGCTTCCTTACTACTTGCAGCCAATGCT